ACCACCACCACCAGCAGCAACATCAACATAGACATCACAACTGTTGCTGCATCACCTACAATCACTCGTTCTGCTGCTGTGGTTGAAACAGGGGAGGAGGGTTGGAGGGTGGTCGTGGGAGTGGGGGTGGGGGTGGGGATTGACAGTTGGTTACTCCTGCCATTATCTTACCTCACATGTTCATCAATCACACGAGAAAGCAAACCTTAGATTAGGCAGTAGCTACTGGATTAAGTACCTTAAATCAATAGAAAATTTAAACTAGCAAGAACCAATACAATCGAATCAAGAACCAATACCTTCGAGAATAATCAATGAACACTTCAAAGTCCAAACGAAAACCTTGAAACCCTAACATAATACAAGAAAACAACCATCAGACAAGCACTGAAGCACTTGAATAGAATCTTGCAAATCCCAAACTACAGGCAAGAAGAACACTTACGATTTGTGCTACTTGCAATTGTTGTGACTGGAAATGGGAATTGCAGGCAACTTCTAGTTCCCTCAAACCCTCGTTAGTGGTTTGTGTTCTGAGAATCTGGCTCTGCAAGGGAAAACACACAATTTCAGTATTTATAGGCGCATGCGTGAAGGAGAAGGAGAAGGAAAAGATGAACTCGAAATCAAAGAGTCGATAAAGGGAAAGTGACGCTATAATCGCCATCGGGAATGGATCGATTCGAAAAACTCGAAGGGAATCGAATGATTTATTGTGTATCTGCTCTAGTGATCAATGAATGTAAGGGTTTTGTGCCGTTTTTGTCGCCAATCTAAGAGCAAAATGCAAGATTTGAGGAGAAAAGGAAGGGTTAGGGAGGGGCTTAGAGTTGGGGATTAGGTTTTCAGAGCGGCGCTAGGTTAAAATGGAGTTGGTTTTTTTTTTTGTAAAATGAGTTGTAGTATGGTTGCTGAATCGAGGGTAAGCGGGTTTCGGGTGTTGCCGGGGAGGATACCACCAAACCCACAACCACCCGGCAACCGGCTGTAGCGGGTTTCGGGTTGTCCGTTACACGTCAATAATTCGTTTGACCTGATTTTAACCGCCAGAAATCGGTGCGGATTTGAGCCGATACCCGGAATTTGGGTCACATTGTCAAGCCTAAATGCAAGTAACGGGGCCCCAACGAGGGACAGCCCAACCAATGTCACTATCCGCATCTTGAAATGAAACCGAGCCTAAATATTGGGTTGGTCCATATATGCAAAGTTTCCTTTGCTGGGACACATGAAGGAAATTGATGGAGGCAGCAGGGGGGCATTTTCATTATTGATTTGGACCAAGTCGTTTGACCCGCAGAAAAAAGGAGAAGGCCAATTAACTTGGAGGGGAAACGCACCGTTTGAAGAAGGAAAAGAATCCAATTAATAAGTTGTATATATTTGGAGCAAACCAATTTCCAGGGGTCGGAGTTCTTTGGTCGAAAGTAATTGGCAATTGGCGATTTGGCGAGAGCGGCATTGACGATCGAGTACTCCAAAGTTAGGTCACACAATCCGTGGAACAGCTGTAGGCGCTCCCGCTTTAAAGCGCGGGAACGCGAATCATATTTTCTCTTGGAGCGCGTTTTTTGTAGAGTAATTCGCGATTGTTTTCAGAGACAGAGCGGGAAGATATCAAAGATGGTGTCCAGCGATTTGGTCAAGGAGATGGAATCCTTGGTTTGGTTTGATGGATATACCACAAAAAAAGGGAATTAGCTGATTTAAACTTTACTGGGATGAATCTCTCGTTGGCGATTAAGAATATCACAGTTTGTGTTAGGAGTTGGGATGAACTCTGAGTTTCAGGGGAGAATCAATGGCGCTCGTCTGCGTTTGAGACTAGAGGCTGCAGGGAGAAACCGGTGGATTCGTTGATGAGGACGAAGAGAGTGCTGACGATACGATACGAGGTTGGTTGAGGGAAGTTTTGGGCAAGAGCCAGAAGTTAGATCTGGGATGCGGGTTGGTGTCTGGGTTGGCGAAGGAGAAATGAAGGAAGTGGAATAGGTTTCAACATCGAAAGGAGAGAGATGGAATAGATTTCCACCCCTATTACTAGGATAAATGGAATTTTCGCTATTCGGTCGTCTCGTTTATGGTGATTCTCATGGGCTTTTGTATATTTATTTATTTTGGACTAGAGGGAGGTAAAGGGCCAGAGAAGTATATTTTAAATAATTTTATGAACCATCAACCATAAGAACCCTTTTATTATGCTATAAAGTATTGGTGCTTTAATATACAACTTGAAGTTGTACCATAACATTAAATGTAAGTTCAAGGTGTACCATAAATGAATTTTTACTCTTATGTTATGGTACAACTTTACAAGTTGAAGTTGTACCATCACATAAAGGTACAAATTCAAGTTGTACCATAAAGAATATGTACAAAACAGTGTAGGTATAATCTAAAAATGTACCATAATATTGAATGTACAATTTCAAGTTATACCATAAAAATAAAAATCTATAGCACCAATACTTTATAGTATTGTAAAATTATTAAAGAGCTAAAAAAATGTTAAGAAAAACAAAACATATCTCTACTCTCATCATAAAATAATTTCAGTTGTATGGATTTGTTATGATTTTTTTTTATTTCCGCGGTATGGAATTTTTTTCGACGAGGAGGTATGGATTTTTTTGACAAGGAGGTATGGATTTGTTATAGTTACACCTATATTATTTATAGGTATTTATTTTAAATAACACATATTTAAATTTAAAATAATATAATATGTTGACGTTCTCGTCACCATTTCAATATTAAGTTCTCGAAAAAAAAAGACTTTTCACGCTCCCATCCTCGCTCCCGCTCTCGCTGTCCCTCCACGAACTGGTTACCTAACTCCAAAGCGATTTGAGTTTAGTTCAACAAGAGCGATTATTTTGGTTGGATTTTCTAGACCAGACATTTGTTTGTTGTTGATTTGGGACAATATGATGAATACTTTATCGATTTATCTTAGTTTTATCATGAACTAAACCCAATTTCTGAGAGAAACATCATAGGATGTAGCTATTTCTAGACTTGATGGATTTATTCATATTTCTTTTTTTTCCAATATGTATTGCATGAATTTGCTTAATATTTTGTGTTGACTCGCCACCAACACATTGATTTGTAGTTGATTAGGTTATTAGCGACAGTGAAATGCTGATAAATGAACCTATTTCACGTGACAAAGTAACTTATCGAAGCGACAGTGGATTAAATAAAGTGCTATGCGGTCTTGATTGTGATATCAATCTTTAGGTTAAACAGTTAATTCATTGAGCTACGCCAGTAGGATTTGATTTAATTGTTTAGTACGTAGTAATACCCAAAGCAGTTAAAATCGAGATTTTACCTAAAATAAAAAACTGGAGTAAAATCGGAATCGTAAAATAGTAGGATTTTAAGTACCATATAGAAAATAACATATAAGAATATTAGTAAGGTAAATCATTAATAACACAAAAGCGGTTAAAATCCGGATTTTACCTAAAATCGAAACTAGAGTAAAATGAGAATCGTAAAATCGTAGGATTTTAAGTACCATATAGAACATAACATATAAGAATATTAGTAAGGTAAATTATTAATAACACAAAGACATCTAACATTTAAAATGATAATTCTCAAGATTTTTTTACAGAAGATATTTCTCAAGATTAATGTTCTAAAATTACTATTTTAATTGTTATTTAATGCGTAACTCAAAATAGTTCATGTTGAAGGGACAGAGCACATGGTGTTTGGCTCTTGTTTTCATGTTGTGTCTAGGTAGTTTAACTCAAAGTGATATTCCGACATCGTTTACTAAGTATGATTTAAAACTAAAAATAATTGAAATTCAATAAAATAATTAATACTAGTGGCTTGGTATAAATATATTCATTAATAGATTAATTAGTTAATAATGATGTTAATTCTTACATACTTTCAATATTAGGACAATTGTTTTACCAATAAGTTAAATGGGGCAAAGGGAAAGGGATTAACCGAACCATAATTTAGTTATTTTTATTATTTTTAAATATTTTTCTAATAGAAAAACATCTGAGAAGATTCTCTCTATTGCCATTTATGCCGAAACAATTATGTTTCTTTTAAATTGGTCAAACCACCTACTTTGTTCTCATACGATCAAAATTCTGATTTTGGTACGATTTTAATCACGATTTTAAACGATTTTAAGGTCCGCTGATTTTATAGTAAAAACAGGATCGGAATCCCTAAGTGAAATGCTAAAATCCTACGATTTTATGATCAAAATCCCGATTTTGATTGCATTGGTAATACCCAACAGAGATAGCTAGCACATTAGTGATATCTTGGTTGTAGAGATATGGATTAAACCGATCGTGATATGGATTAATTGTTCTCTCAAAGCTTTCTCCTATTGATTTCAACCCGACAACTTTAATTTTCTTATTTTGCTATTAGATAAGAGTTTCATCACTCAAACCATTTTCACTTATAGTTTGCTCCATAAAATTGAGAGAAAATAAGGTTGTACCAGTCCCTGAGAGACAATACCCGGATATTCGATTTTACTACATAATAGGATTTGAAGCATTACGCTTTTGCCCTATCATCAGTCATGTAACTTGCATGGACACTACCGGTATGACCGACATGATCGATTTATGACCTCTAAACAAAATGACATCATTTTAGTGAATTTAATAGATAAAATAATTAAATTATTATTTATTTTATGAATTTAAAAGTTAAATGTTGATATTATTTGTTGGGTTTAAATATTGACTTTTAGATATTGATGTTGAATGCCGTATTTTATTCGAATATGAATATGAATTATAAGTATATATATTATCTTCCAATATGTTTTTATATATAATTAAATTCATTTGATATTATTATTTTTGCACATTTCTACTTGAAACGATACAAATCAATTCTACTGCCGGTTTAACCATTTCACCACTTGTTAAACCGGGGCGACGCTAGAAGCAAGTTCGACAACCTTTGTTTTCATATTCACCGCCGGGATTGTAAGCGGCGGACTGATCAATGATTCGCCATTCATGTCTCTGGGGAAGAAGTCGCCAATTCTTCCTCTCACATTCCGTTTTCTCATGCCATTCAATGACAACCACAAGCCAATTCCCTTCCACTTCTTCTTCTTCTTCTTCTTCATCTTCGACAATTCAAACCTCTGCGGCGCATCCCAAACTCAGGCATAAAGACTGGCTCTCTCCACAAGAAGTGTTCAAAATCTTCGAATCCATAACTGACCCAGTTTCCCTAACTTCCTCCTGGAACCAATACTGTCTCCGCCGAGACTTCAAACCCAACGAGCTCCTTCTCACCCTCCTAGTCACCAACCTCGCTCACACCAAAAACTTTGCCGCAATTGAATCCCTAATGGAGTCCATAAAGCTTCACAGACTCCCTCTCGCCAATCCCTTGTCCGACGACTTCTACTTCAATGTCATCAAGATATACGGCCATTCCGCCGGAAGGATCAGGAAGGCCATGGAGACCCTGCTCGACATGCCTCAACGGTTCAACTGCTGGCCAAAGGTCAGGACTTTCAATCTTGTTCTTAACTTGCTCGTCTCCGCCAAGATCTTCGATGTTGCCCGAGAGGTGTACTTGAGTGCCCCGATGCTGGGTGTTGAAATCGATGCTTGCTGCCTCAACATTCTCATCAAAGGGATGTGTGAGAATGGGGATCTGGAAGGTGCACGCCAGGTGCTCGACGAATTTCCTCAGCAGAGGTGCCAACCTAATGCGAGGACTTTTGCGACGCTGATGCACTGCTTGTGTGAAAAAGGAAAGGTGGATGAGGCGTTTGAATTGCTTGGGAGGATGGAGAAGGAGGGCGTGGATGCCGATACAGTGACGTTCAATGTTTTGATCTCGGGCCTGAGAAAGCAGGGGAGGGTCGAGAAAGGAATGGAAGTTTTAGAGAGCATGAAAAGGAAAGGATGCGAGCCCAATGAGGCGTCATATCAAGAGGTTTTGTATGGTTTGCTCGATGTCGGGAGGTTTCAGGAGGCAAGAGAGTTTATGAGTAGGATGGTTTGTCTTGGATTCAACCCGAGTTTTGTGTCGTATAAGAAGTTGATTCATGGGATTTGCAGAGAAAAGTTGATTGGTGAGGATTTGGACTGGGTTTTGAAGCAAATGTTGAGGCAGGGATTTGTGCCCAAAATGGGAATGTGGAGGCAGATGGTTCAGACGGTGTTTTCTGCTGGGAATAGCACTTCCACATCGCAGATTTCGTTTGTTGAAATTCTTGGCAGCTAGATTCCGGTCGCGCACATTTGCCAAGCAACTCATTGATACATTTATAGTGTAGTGTTTGAAACCATGTAGCGAAGGTCGAATTCTGGCACTGCCTGTGTGGCATTAGCAGTTACTAGCCGCGTTCATTACAGTGATAAAATTTCACTATTAGCGACCTGGTGGGTTTGTCTGGGTTTCTGCTTTAGAGTCGACAGGTTCTTTGCACGAAGCAGGATTAGATAATAGGGGTTTACCTTGTCGAGAGAATCATATTTGTAGCCGGTATTTAACAGGGATGGGAATACCTTGTTCGAGTGGAATCTGTGGTCGTTTGGAATGCATATTTTAGTGTGGTATTTGTGGTAAAAGGTTTCATCAACACTTTGGTATGGACTTTCATGATACTTTCAGCCTAGTTGTCAAGCGTGTCACTGTTCGTGTTGTCTTTATACTAGCTCTGTCACAAAATTGATCTATTCTTCAATATGACTAGGTGGCGATGTCGCGCCTTGTCGCGGGAGGAGATGGCCTATCGGCATGTATTATGTGACCCGTTATGGTGTTTTGTTAGTATTATTAGCCTAAAATTAATTTTTTGTTAGTAATTTTGTTAATAATATTGACTTGACAATATGATATTGAATAAGAAAAGATATATGACAGTTAACATCCAATTTCAAATATTTTGAAATTTTGGGCTAATAAACTATATTTACCTAAACCCAAGTAGACCCATTGATTATGGGTAGGGTATGGGTGACTTATATATGAGTTTGGAAGTTGTAGATGAGTTTGAGTAGGGTATGGATATTTACTTCCATAATCTAAATGTGTATGAGTTGGGTGTGGATACCCATTTTTTCGAAGGTGTTTTAATTACACATACAAAAATTAGAACTATTTGTAGAACATCAAAATTTTAGGTACCAAAATGTAGTAAAAAAAATTAGGTACTAAAATGTATTGTTCCATCAATATTTTGATTTTTGAGGACTTGTATGCTAAAAAAATAAATTTAGGCTATAAATCTAAGATCTATTAAGTTTATGTACAAAACTATAATTTGCATAGTTGAGGCTTAATTCCTTTTATGGTGATGTATTTAAGATAATAATTATTTACTTTTTTTTAGAAAAATGGAAACTATTTATTTGATATGTGTAGGTACCTAGTCAAACATATAATTGTTGAAAATCTAGCCCGGGTGAAAAAGAAAAACTCTATAGAGAAGCAAAATGAATACAAACGGGAACTCGCTAACAATTTCAAGCCTTCAAATCTCATAGTGGACAATAATGACTTTCTAATAACTAATAGTCATATATCTTTATTTTTAATTGGACTCGACATTGAGCTGAAAAAGTTAATGGTTCATGGTTCAATTACTAATTATGGTTAGACGAAAAAGGCAATGAAAGAAATACACAAAGTGTTATGATTTTTATTATGGTTGATTTTTTTAAACATTGTTCTATTAAAATGTCATACAAAAACTTCGTACAGATCAATATCTTAATGTACTTGTATTATATTTTACTAAATATGTTGTCACATCACCGAATAGAATGCTCTTTTAAAAATGATCATTATTATTTCAAATGGATATCATACATGTTTATTTGAAGTAAAAATCTCATAAAAGACCAAAATAGTCGAATTTTCTTCTACAGTTGAGTGATACAACATCTTGTATGGTACAAACTAAATTTATAATTTTATGTTACGGTGGAATGGATTCATGAATTGTTGGATTGGATTTATGGATTCAAGTGAAATGTAAACATTGGACCAATATGTAAATTTTAAAAATTATAGGTATGAAAATCTCACAAAGTTTAGATACTAAAACATAATTGTTCAATGATTTTACTTTAAAATTAAATTTGGGGTATCAAAATGTAAAATATAAATTATAATGATTAAGTTGTAATTAATTAAATTTGAGGTATCTAGTTATTTTGGTAACAGTAACTTCACTTCACGTTTATATATAATACTAGGAGGCGATACCGCGCCTTGTCGCGGACGGAGATGGCCTATAGGTATTTATTATGTGCCCGTTATGGTGTATTGTTAGTATTATTAGTCTAAAATTAACTTTTCATTAGCAGTTTTGTTAGTTTTATTGATTTGACAATATGATATGGATTGAGAAGAGATATATGGCGGTCAACATCCAATTTAATTTTTTTTTTTAAATTTTGGCTAGTAAATGATGTTTACCTAAATCCAAGTGGACACGTTGATTATGGGCAGGGTAGGGGTGACGTATATATGGGTTTGGAAGTTCGTAGATGGAAGTTTATATTCCTTTTGCTTCTCTCTAGAGTTTTTCTTTTTCACCCGGGCTAGAGATTTCAACAAATATACATGGAATGTTTAGCTAGATATCTACACATATCAAATCATATAGTGGAAAATGACGACTTTCTAATAAGTAATAGCCATATATATTATCTATTAATTGGGCTCGACATTGGGCTAAAAAAGTTAGTGGTTCATAGTTCAATTATTAGTTCTCTAGATTGTTGGTGAGTCTTGTATGGACTCGTTCATACTTGTGATTAGAATATATAAAAAATAGTATACTAATTAGGGTTAGACGAAGAAGGCAAAGAAATAAATAAAGAAATGGGTATGAAAGACGGATGAAAATGAAACGAAAAGAAAGTAGATGATGGAAAGGTTTTGACCAATTCTTTTAGTTGGCCATCAATACAACAATCAACCCTTTTCACCGTAGCAATTTATAAACTCTTGCCTATTTTGTTACATGTAGTTATTAGAAGTTTGTTTAGTACCCCGTAAACGTACTAAATGAGTTTAGAAATTCGCTCTTCCAATATTTTAGAATCGTATCTCTTTTATAATTTATTTAATGTTTCACGGAATGAGCAAATATAAAATGGTCGAATCTTCTCCTACAGTTGAGTGATACAACATTTTGTATTGTACAAACTAAATTTATACTTTTATGTTATGGTGGATTGGATTCATGGATTGATTCAAAAGGATTAGTGGATTTTATTTGGTTTCATTGATTCAAGTGAAATCTAACTATTGGGCCAATATGTAAATTTAAAAAATTATAGGTACGAAAATCTCATAAAAATTAGATACCAAAACATAATTGTTCAATAAGTGTATATTTAAATTAAATTTGGGGTATCAAAATGTAAAATTTATATTATAGTGAATAAGTCGTGATTTAATTAAACTTAGGGTATCAAATGGTAAATTGTTAGGCAATAGTAACCTAACATCAGCTACTAAATGAGTTTATAAATTCGCTCTTGCAATATTTTAGAGCTGTATCTCTTTTATTACTTATTTAATGTTTCACATAATGAGCAAATATAAAATGGTTGAATCTTCTCCAACGGTTGAGTGATACAATATCTTGTATTGTACAAACTAAATTTATACTTTTATGTAATGGTGGATTGGATTCATGGATTGGTTCGAAAGGATTAATGGATTGGATTCATGGATTCAAGTGAAATCTAAATATTGGGCCAATATGTAAATTTAAAAAATTGTAGGTACGAAAATCTCATAAAATTAGATACCAAAACATAATGGTTCAATAATTTTATATTTAAATTTAATTTGGGGTATCAAAACGTAAAATTTACATTATAGTGACTAAATTGTGATTAATTAAATTTGTTGTATCAAATGGTAAATTGTTAGGAAACAGTAACATAACTTCATCTTTATATATAAGAATAAATGTTAATACTGCAATTTTGCAAGATCCTCTATAGGAAGTGTACATAGCTCAGCCCCTGACTTCTCTATTTCAGCAAAGATGGTTTGTCGGCTTCATCGTGCTAAATATGGTTTTTATCAAGCGCCAAGGGTATGGTATACAACTCTGACTGCTTTTCTTCAGGAGTATGGGTTTGTTAAAATGAACTTTGATGTTTCCATCTTTGTTTATCACTGCCAGCATCTGACTCTTTATTTCATGGTATATGTTTATGATCTTCTTTTTACTTGTAATGATTTGGCAGCTTTTCATGTATTTGAAGAAGCTCTTTTTTAGGATTTTCTCTCAAGGAACTCGATCCGGTCAATTATTTTCTAGGAATTAAGGTCATTCCTACCACAACTGGCTTTTTTATTTCTTAACGCAAGTATATGATCGATGTTCTCAACCGCTTTTGCATGGTGGATGTCGCGGCCGCTCTGACTCCTATGGCCTCCACCACACCGCTCACTCTACGTGATGACAACTCTCCTACTGATGCCACCATGTATCAACAGCTTCTTAGTGCTCTTCCGTATCTTTTCTACACTCGGCCGCACATTGCTTTTGCTATCGACAAATTGTCCCACTATATACACTCTCCTTGTTGAACTCAACCAACGAACTGAAGGAAGACGATGAAGAAAGGGTAAAGGTTCAATGGTCAGATTATTTTCTGAGGATTTTCTCTCAAGGAACTAGATTCGGTCAATTATTTTCTAGGAATTAAGGTCATTCCTACCACAACTGGCTTTTTTATTTCTCAACGCAAGTATATGATCGATGTTCTCAACCGCTTTCGCATGGTGGATGCCGCGGCCGCTCTGACTCCTATGGCCTCCACCACACCTCTCACTCTACGTGATGACAACTCTCCTACTGATGCCACCAAGTATCAACAGCTTCTTAGTGCTCTTCTGTATCTTTTCTACACTCGGCCGCACATTGCTTTTGCTATCGACAAATTGTCCCACTATATACATTCTCCTTGTTGAACTCAACCAACAAACTGAAGGAAGACGATGAAGAAAGGGTAAAGGTTCAATGGTCAAAAGCAGAACAGATGAAGAAAGAAGAAGAAAGAAGTGCTCAACCAAGTTCAATACGCAGAGTTCATGGGCAATGGAATATGCAACGTTTTCCTCCAAACGCATAGTTTTGTATATCTGTAGTTGGCAAATATAATAGCTGTACAAGTAGGACACTTGTCATTCTTCTACAGGGGAAGGTTGTAGATGTTGTTGTCCTGTAGCTATTCTTTCTCGTGTGTATATAACAACAGTGAAGCTGCCAGTGGAATGCAAATAGAATTTCACCAAAATCATTTATCCCTTTTCAATTATTCACATGGTATAAGAGCCCTGAGCTCACGCCTGCTACGGTTTCTGCACTTTTGCGGCTCCGATCATGGCGACCAACGTCGAATGTAATCCAAGTGCCTGTAACCACAGTTAGTCATTGTGAAATTTGCCATTTTGCAAGGCAAAAGAAACTCTTATTTTCTTCAAGCTCCAATGTCTGTCACTGTCAAACTCCTTTTGTACTCATCCAGTGGAATGCAAACAGAATTTCACCAAAATCATTCATCCCTTTTCAATTATTCACATGGCATCAGAGCCCTGAGCTCACGCCTGCTAGGGTTTCTGCACTTTTTTGGCTCCTATCATGGCGACGAACGTCGAATGTAATC